TTTCTTTTTGGTGGCTCAGATGCCACATGTGGGATGCACTGGCTTTGCCTCCTTACAAGCATGGCAGGCCCCAAGGTCTCGCCCTGGAGGACCTGGCCACGCCCCCTGCAGGTGAAACCTGACTCAGGCTGGCCACTCAGCACTTCCTAAGATGACCATGGTGATTGGTTTGCGGCTGAGCATATGACCCGGGCTGGGCCAATGAGAGGTCGACCTTGTTCCACACTGGCTGATGGTTGAGCGCTGGTGCATGTGTCCCGTGCTGTTCCGGCCAACTTGAGCATCGTCCTTCACAGCATCAGTCTCCCCATTTACAGATGGGAAAACAGCCATCAAATCAAGAGGTTTGATTTCAGGTCCTAGTTCTGCTCCTAACCACCCTGTGATCTTGGAGAAGCCCTCTCTTGTAGTGACACAATTGTCAAGTGCAGAGCGGGGGAGTATGCTGCTAGCATTTAAGCCACTCTGCTGCTCAGTGGCGCTCTCATTTCTTCTCAAAGAAATGCCGTAATTCCCATCTTCCAGGTAGGGAAACTAAGGCACCAAAAGTTCACAGCGCTAGTCAGTGCTGTGATTTGAACCTAGGCATCTGATTTATCACTCATGCCCTTGATCTACCTGTGTCACCTTTGCTAAACAAGACAGAATCCCTAGCCTCAGGGAGCGGAGGTGGTAAGGGTGGTGGCTCTTGGCCCCAGTCTCCAGTTTCTTGGTTGGTTATGGTTTTAAGGAGGCAGAGGGACTTTGTTGCATCCTAGCTCTGACCTCATTCACATGTGACCTTGGGCGGATCCTGGCTCCCTTCTTTCTGAGTCTCGGTTTCCTTAGCTATGAATAGATGGATTCTGATGCTTGAGAGGCTTGGGATACTGGCCTTCTAGTATCCCACCTCCCTCAGTCCTGCACTCATGGTGTTCATTCCTCCCCTCCCCAGAGGGTGCCCCCTCTCTGGAGACTTGCTCAGAAGCAGCAGGCCATGTATATCCTGGCCTCCCTCCTGCAGGCAGGTGAGGTCCAGAGGTCCCAGGTTAGGGTACATCAACTGCCCCCGTGAGGGGTCGGGCTGCGTCTATCCATCTGTGCTGCCAGCACCAGAAAGCAAGTGCCTGTTTTCCTCCCAATCTGACACCAATCTGGACACCTCCCTGGCAGATGAGGGCAGAGCGTGTGGAGGCAGGAAATAGCACCTGGAGCTTCAGAAACACAGGCTGGGGCAGAGCAGATGCATAGCTCTAGGGTCAGCTGGGAAAGCAGGGGCTGCAGAGCATGCTGGAAAGACGCCTGGGCTGGGGCACCTTCTGGGCTCTGCACCCCATGAGTGGCAGGGTGGTGCCCAGTGACTGGGTCATCCATTGGATTCTAGATGCCTCTCTGACATCAATCTGCTGTATAGACTTGGGCAAGTCTCTGTCCTCCCCTGGGCCTCAGTTTCCCCAGGAGTCAAAGGAGGAGGTCAAAGCAATCATCAGTAAGGACAGGCTAGCTCTGCCCTGAGGTATTTTCTTCAGTCTGGGCAGGAGCCCCAGGTTGGCTCATGAGGTAGGCATGTCTCTTATGGGGACACATTTCACATCTTGACCCTGACATCTCAGAACGTCAATTATGTCACTTCCTATACCCTCCTACCACTTCTGGAAAGTTCTGCTGGCAAAATCTGTGACACCACCCCTCCCCCATCCCCAGGCCCCTATCTTAAGGAGGCTGTAGTTCCTCATAGCACATAGGGCTTTCTCTGTGGGGGTGGGACTGGCTCCCAGGAAGATTTCAGGACCTAGGGCCACATACAGAGCCTCAAAGTGGCCCTTGGAGCTAGGCTCCAGAATTTTCTGGAGCAAAGAGCCCTGGGCCCCAGACACATCCTGGCTTCTGGCCCTCAGTGTCCCCATCATAGGCACGCTGAGCCGGGAAGAGCTGATATTCTCCTGTGCACTTTTTGTCTGCTGCCTACATTTTCTTGACTCTCCTCCCTCCCTCCATCCCCCCTCCTTGCTGCTGTTTTCCTCTTGGCATTCCCTCCTCTTTCCTGCCTGCTGCATCCTCATGGCCTCCTCCCCAGACCCTATTCTGCTCAGAGACCTCCCTGACTCTCTGTTGCCCAGAATATGGAGACCCCCCCCTCAGGTAGCATGCAGGGGCCTCTTCATTTTCCTTTCAGCCAACCTTTCCTTTCTCCTCTCCACCTGTTATGGTTTGGACATGAAGTATCCCCCACAATGGCTCTTGTGCTGAAATGAAGGCTTGGTCCCCAGCTGGGACCAAGCTGGATCCAATCCATAAGGGATTGGATCCTGAGGGCTCTGACTTAATCAATGGATTAGGCTGTGAACCCTTGACTGGTCATAGTCTGATGACATTATTGGGAGTGGG